TGAAATAAATAAAAAGAAATTCATAAATAGCTATAAAAACCGTTCCCGGTTTGAATTCTTTTTAAGTCTTTTCAACAAATAAAATTACTTTTCATTTATTTCTTATCCTATTAATCAAAGTCTGTATTACTTAGGTTAATTTTTTTCTCCAGTACAGGTGATTATTTTTCAGATCTAGGTAATCGTCTATTTCGTTACGATTAACATATATGTTCTCACATAAAGCTACAATAATTGTATATTGTGAAACCAAAATGTTCTGTGTTTTTGAGAAAAATGCTGACATTTAAAGGAAGATATAAGCAAAGATAAATGAGAATCAATTGCCGGGGTTGGCCAATACCTTCTAGGAGGTATTGGGTTGGCAAGGAGGGGGCAAAGGTTTCTAGTGGATAAACACTTACAAAAGGCTTGTTTATTTTATAATCAAATACTGTTGAGTTAGAGTAATCAAACAGACTTCTATAATAACATATATATGCTTAAAAACTCTGCATAAATACAAAATAAATAAACAAAAATAGTTTATTTAAAAAAGATAAGTAGATATGCAAATTTTTTTACCACTATTTTGAATTTAATTCGAAACTATCCTGTTACTTATTGCTTGACAATTGCATTGACCACTTTTAATTTATGTTCTGTCTAGTTAGTTTTCAGTCAAAATCGCAACCCTGTTTTAAATCAATTTTAGATTTAAGCACTGTTTTACGAAGAAAATTTTTTTTTTTAAAAAAAAAAGAAAAGAAAGAAAGAAAGAAACACATTTAAGTGCCTTTCCACTTGAAGCAATGCGATGATTTCAAACTATATATATATAAACTTGCCACGAAGAATTATCTGGGTTATAAAACAGACAAATAACTTAAATATTTTAGAAGTTTTTAAACTTTATTAAAAATTGCAAATTTATTGACAATTTTGCACCTAGATGAAAATTATTAAAATCACTGCCTTATTCTTAGTTTTTGCGAATTTTTATAATGCAACACTGAAGTAAGTTTTTAAATATGATTTAAGAAATAAAATATTTTTATGCTTTAAACTGTTTTCTTTCTCTGAAAATCTAATTATCTGTACATTTCAATTCCTTGCATCATTTCATCCTCTTGTCTGTTGCTGGTTAAATACTATCTAAACCTGCGGCTCAATTTAAAAAAATGAAAGAATTTTTTATATATATTCCAAAGTCTTTAAGACGGTCCTATTACGTAAATGAAGACGTCACACCAGCGTCATAATTGTCGTTTTGAATATTAAAAAGTATTCATTATTCATACATTTCCTCGATATTTGACGAAGGGATGTCCCGACGATTTCCTCTTGGCTGCGATTTATTTCATAGAGGAAGCGGGCTGGCTTTTGAAATAGAACTCGAAACTAAAACCAGTTCCCGCCAGTTAATACCAGCGGAAACAGGTGTAGGGAGAATATTCTTCGCAATACGCCCAAGTGGGTTACAGGCATGATTGTTCTCTCACTTCTAATTAAAAAGATTTTTAAAAAAAAGAAGGAAAAAAAAAGTTTTATTTTGGCAGTTCTGGGCGTTTTTAAAGTATCCGTGCTTCTTTACTAAAAATAAGGCGATCTTGGTTTTATTCGAAATGTTCAAAGAGTGATGAGTCACAAAAATTACGTTTCGCATTTATTCGACTATGGAGGCCGAAGCTATTTATCGTGTACGTTTCGATGAAAATCGGCAACTTGAATTTTCTCATAGCAGAATCCCCTCAGCTACTGTACGGCACATAATTTCTGCATCTGCTGAATAATTTTGCCCTTTGAAAAGAAGATTTCATTATGATTTTATCACATGCAAATTCATTTTTTTTTCCATATATATAACAAGAATAAAAAAGGGAATAAATTTAACACCTTACAAATTAATCAGTAATGTGTAATACCAGAATTTTATCCTCAACAATTTTTTATTTGCTCTCTTTAAACTATTTTATGTGCTTATTTCACAAAGTAATTCTCTCTTATTATCATATTAGTTTATATTCAATTCAAATTAGTTTATAATATATTCAAATCAGTTTACGAAGAAATAATTAAATACATCCTAAAAGACAATGACTGTGCACAATTTTTTTTCTTCAAAAAAGTAAACTAAAGAAAATTATCAATTGATAAACAATTTGAAAGCTNTTAAAAATTTTTTTTTTTTTTTTTTTTTTTTTTTTTTCCTCCTCTGAAACCATTTGAATGAGTTTTATCGTTTTTTGTATATGTTATGAATACGTAGTTTTTTATTGCAAATCTAACAATTCTAAATGGCCATTAATCATTAATTAATAAAATTATTACATTTTGTTTGGACTTTTCCGAAAGTTTCCAATTCGCTCAAAAGTTCCTAAGATAAACGAAATACGCATAAAATAAAATTAACTTAGACCTTCTTCAAACCATTTTCATATTTGAGACCATATTTTCCAGATTGCGGTCAACCCCACCCTATAATTTTATGGCCAAAAATCGAAAACTGTCGTAAAAAAAGTTATTCTTATAATAGTTTTCTACTTCCGAACATAATTGTTAGCACTATTTAGTTTAATTAGTTAAATAATTTAATAAATTAATTAGCCAATTGATCCGTTTTTAATTTAAATATTTTGTGTAGGGAGTACTTTTTTTTTATTTCAGTTTTGGATTGCAGTTCATCCCAACAAAGTTGTTTGTTTATTTTATTCTTTTTTATATAGAATATGAATTTATGACATATATTGATGTTGTTTATAGATAAAGATATATGATTCTAAGTTATATATATTAATGATGGCAGTAAAACATTCTTAGGATTGAAATAAATGGACTAGCATTTTTAATTTTTTTTACTTCAGTTATGATTATTAGTTTACAGAACAGACAGACTGTTTATCAGAACATAATTTTTAGTGGCTGCTATATTATCACTAAATCATGTACAGTACGCCATAAAAAAAAGTGGGCCAACCTAAATAAATTTTGATATTATGATCAGATCTTCACGTTCTTTAGCTTTATTCTTAATGGTTCGAGGGGGTGACCTCAAATTCGTTACTTATGATATCGTCTGCACTAATTAATTAGCATATTTTAGGTCACCCCCCCGACCNTTAGGTCCCCCCCCCCCCCCTCCGAACAATTAAGAGTGAGTCCTAGAACGTGAAGATCCGATCTTTAGATCAAAAGCTATTCAGAGTGGACCGTTTTATATTTTGCGCACTGTATATTACAAATATAATAATTTATATGAAATGAGCACAATTATATGAATGAATGAATTGCAATTTATATGAATTATTAATTTAGATGAATTACAATTATTCAAATGAAATGATACCGAAAACAAAACATAAGTATTTGATCGTTTTAAGCATTTATTTAAATCAATGATTTAAAATAAAAGGAAGAAAGAAAAAAAAACAGTTGATTCGAATCAACGAACCCTGAGCAGTGGTGGCTCAGGTGATAGATCACACTGGCCTCCCATTGAGGTGTCCCTGGTTCGAATCCAAGAGATGGCTGGTAGGTACGAATTTTGGCACCTCGCTTGTTCCCACCGCCGTGCTGACGTATACTATCCTCAGTGGTAGGCGGATCATGGGTATATAATCTCCTTGTCAGGCTAAGCTTGGGAGGTTTTCCTCTCCGTGTAACGCAAATGCGAGTTAGTTCCATTAAAAAGTCTTCCTCGAGTATAAATCTCTCCCAATACATGATCCAGGAGTTCCCTTGTCTTCTGGATTGGTTTGAAAATTACGAAACTATGGAGTAGAAGTCGTTAACTCAAAATTGGGTTTGGTTGTTCAACAACGGTTATAAAATAACAATAAAAAAATCAACGAGCCCTGAACTTATTATATTATTGGAAATTTTTAGTTTTTCCATTTTGTCTAGTTCCCTCGGCTGTGGGTATATTTCGGACTAAATGTTAGTGAAACATTTGAGATCATACCAGTTCATTATTATTCTATCAGCACACATCATTGATAACACCAAGTTCTTTGAAGAAAATAATAATTTTTAAAAAAAAACCTATTTTTTATTTTTATATATATATTTTTTTTATATAATAGCCTTTGTTTTTGATAATTTCTAGTTCAAAGAGTAATGTTCCCTTAAGGTCAATTTTATTTCATTTTATAACCGTCGTTGAACAGCCGACCGAAGTTTTGAGTTTACGACTACTAATGTTCAACTCCGTTAACTTGTCATTTTGAACCCAATCCAGAAGACAAGGGATCTCCTGGATCAAGTATTGGGAGGAATTGGACATGGAGGACTTTTTTGATTGAACTAGCCTGCATTTGCGTTACATGGAGAGGAAAATCTCTCACGGTTAGCCTGATGGCAAGGGGACTCTAACCCATGATCCGTCTACCCCTGAGGAAATTTTAAGTCGTCACTGTGGACAGTGCGAGCCGGGAGGAACGGAATTGGTTTCAACCAGCCATAGCTGGGATTCTAACCTGGTTCACCTCGTTGGTCTGTCCCCTGAGCCAACACGGCTCTTTAAGGTCAATTGTACTTAGTTTAATTAAATTTAAATTTATTTTTAAAAAAATGCATGTATCTTTGTTTCGCTTCTTCAGCTGAAACTGAGGTTTTGGCTATTTTAAACCGCATTTTAACTGTTTGAACTAGTTTTTTTTTTTTCTTCTCTTTTAATCCTAATGCACGAAACGTAATTCATTATTTTCTTATTCCAAGAACTTGCTTTTTTTTTTTTACTTGTAAGGCATATAAAAAATAAAAAAAACAGGAAAACTGAGCGAGTGAATATTAAAATGTGGGGGGGGGGATTGAGAAATGGAAGCAAGTTTCTTCAATTCTTTTTTACGTCATTGAATTTTTAAATCATCATGTTATAATTTACTTACGTGATACGAAGAAAAAATCCTTTATATTAGTTTTTCTTTTATGAATTTTTACTATCAGTTAATAGTTATTCTTTTTAACATTTTGTAGAATTAATGTAAATGATCTCTGAAAACAGAATTTTTATATATTTATAGTTGGCGAGATCTGATAGTTTCCGTCTAGCTGTAACCCCAAGTATTCCAGACGATGGTAAAACACCTGATGGGAAGCCGAAAATTCTAAAAAAGGCCATGGGAAAAGACAAGAAAGGAAAGCCGGACCTGGATGAGCTCAAGCAGGAGGTTGACATGGTAACGTATAATTTTTTTCTAATTTATAGCTTAGCTGCTTTAATTCATTTGATGTACACATTGGTTCGCATATTTAGTGCTATTTTTTTTCTCTCCCTGTTACGTTTATTGGGGAGGTATAACTAGGACTTAATTTCATTTATGACTTCTGATTTTGGAGGACCATTAACAGTGCACACTTTGGAGTTCACATTGCATTAGAAAATCTAATATATATAATTCTCTTACGTGGCTCCCAAATTTTGGCTGTATTTCTTTTCCGCCGGTGGCAACGTTTGCTTTGTTTTGAAAACACCAAAGCATTCTGCCTTTTAATGATGTGTTTCTGATCTAATATATATAATTCTCTTACNTCTCTATTTTAGTATATTGTCGAAAGCGCTTTTTTTCACGAATTTATTTGACGATTTTTTGACTTATATCGCGAATTTTACTATAGCACATTTCTAATAGGTTTAACGAATTACATGTTATTTATTTGAATTCAAATTTATTTTAATGACTTTGTATTTACTAAAAAGATGTAATTTTTTAAAAAAAAAAAGTTTTTATATGGATTTGAATGATTGTTTTGAATTCTTAGAATTTTGTGCATTTGCAATGTATCTAAGTTAAGTTAGTAGCGAGCGAAGCAAGCTTGGTTTGCGAAGCAAACCATATAAGATTGCGTAGCAATTTTCGGGGGTTGGCGAGCGTTAGCGAGCAGGGGGCTCATCCCACTAGTAACTTTTTAATTAAGAAATAAATTAGAGTTTTTAAATATTTTCCTCAATTCTTTAAATATTGCCCTCAATCTAAAAGAAGAAGAAAAAAAAACACGTTTAAAGTACAAGGTCAAATTTATCTTCAAGAAGAATTTTTGTTTTAAGCGAAACTAATCAGCATTTGCGCAAAATAAAGGTTTCCACAATAAACATTTCATGGTTAGCCGATGTCAATGGAGCTCTGATACGTCAATGTATAATTTGCATCAGCACTGCAACTTACTTTGCTGGCAGAGGGCAAAATAAAGTTTAACTATCTATCCCTGTGATTGGTACATATGTAGACTTAATCTATCTTCGCTGAGCCATGATGACTTTTTGGAAAAAGTTGCCATTAGTTGTGCTAACTAGATAAATACGCTTATGAATTCGGATTTCACACTTCTTAAAAGAGTGCTGTTGAACCCTTTCAGAACTTGGGAGAGAAGGGGTGCGGCGCGTGCCATCAGTGATGTGTGTGTATGTGCGTGCGTGTATGTGTCCTATGAAGAATCCGCCCCTTTTTCAATTCAAACATAATAATCCTAAAAATAGAAAACAATTTTGTTGATAGTTATTACTGATATTATGTTAATGGGTGCTGTTTTAATATGTACTATTACTAATATATAGGTATCAAGATACCTACTATAAGTACTAGTGAAATAGATTTTTTAGAATCTATCAAATGGGACAAATGCCAGAGTAAATTGTTGTTCATGGTAATTTTTGACTAGCAGGAATTTGTCTCGAACAGTAGAATTATGGTAATTGATAAACATCGTTCAACTTCATTTTGATAGAACGAACTCTTAAAAGACATGTTTTAGCTTAATCTACTAAAGTAAAGGCATCAAGAAGAGGAGCAAAAAAACTGGAATTGTTTCAAGTTAATCTCTTTCAATTTTGTGCATGATTTCGTAATGCTGATCTTTACCGATTTATTGATTATTTAAGAGGTTGTGTAGCATTTTTAAAAAGTGTTTAAAGGTGCTTTCGTTTTTTTTTTTTTTTTTTTTNTTTTTTTTTTTTTTTTTTTTTTTTTTTTTTTTTTTTTTTTTTTTTTTTTTGAAAGCCTCTAAAGGTGCTTTTTTTTTCATTGGGTATTTGTGAAAAGCGCTTAATAAGATTTTTTCTTAGTCATGTTCCACAATGTTCCGTTCAACATTTTAATTTTTCCCTCGCCCACTATTCAGCTTCTTCGTATGTATGGGTACAAAAGTGTTTTATATGTTGGATGAATTACTTGTTGGTCTCCGCATGGGTGAGCTGTATTAAATGGGACGGATTCTTGTAATAATCACACGTGCAACTCGGTTGCATTTTGCGAGAGTTTTCAGACTTGAGGTCGAAACTAAACATTGCCAAATTGTTTCTCCTATCGATGGTTGACCGAGCAACGCTAAGCGCAGATTGCGCTATGGGTTAAAATTCGTCGTAGGAATACTACTTCCAATTGATTTTTACGCCTTAGCTTTAAAAGAAACGCACCATCCAATATTATACTTATAGAGTTTTTTTCAATATAACGCGTTCCTTCAATCTAACTTTCAACGAAACAAACAACGAATGAATTCGAAATACTCCGCAAGCTTGCTATGATGCCGCCCAAAGAATAACAAACGGTGCCAAATAAGGGATAACACTCAAAACATGGCTAACCTTACACTTTTTTTTTTATGCTGTCGTGATATTAATTTTGTTGAATTTGTTTTAGGATCACGGCCTGTTAGAATTTATTAATTACAAAATCTTATAAATGGTAAAATGACGCGTCAATTTAAACACATATCACAATAATAAAACATCCTAAAATATTAAACCTGTTCACACCTGTTAAGCCTCGTATGTATAACAAAAGCGGAGGGATACACCGGAAGCTTTCTAAATTGCCTCCGGTTTTAGAAAGCTTGTTATTGTTTACATTCAGTCAATCATCCATAGGTCCCGCAGTGGACTGATCGTTAAGACACGGTTCCCAGCAGATCACCGAATTCAAGCATCACAGGCTGCGGTCAGTGTGCGGGTGGGTGACCACTTGGATCAGTCTGCGTAGAGACCGAGCGTGTGCGGTATGGGTCCTCGTTAAACTGTGCTACCGTAAAGTGCTCGACCTCGCGTGCAGGTCGTCGGGCTACTGAAGCGGGGGTGCCATCCCCTCTGCAGTGGATCAAAATTGTGATGGCATGTCTTCGGATCATCCTCAGGGATGTTTCCCAGACCGTCGCCAATAGCTCATTGTGCAGCTCTAGTGCGACGTAAATTAACTACAGCAATCATCCATAGCAAATGGAAATTTTATTTTTATTTCTTGTTAATTTCTTCGTTCATGATGCGCCATTGTCTTTATCACAGGCAAGCCTTCTCGTGCTGTTCCATTTATAGTTCAGCGCCACTAGCTTCGAAGGGGCTGGGATGACCTGAAGCCCATGTCCAACAGGTCGTGGGTTCGATCCTCGTCGGCCAAAGATCCGCCTTGTTCAAAATGATGCCTGATGCACGCTAAATCTGTCGGGGTCACATAGTCCTATAAGTTCCCTAACAAATCAATATCTCTGGGGATACTGGATCGGAGATTGATCGTGTCTGGTTCAGGGCAAGATTGCGATCTGAGGATGGCTGGATGTTGTGTAACGGTGTCCTCACTGTAAAACGAGCTGTGAAGTATGTGTGTGCTAGAATTCGAATTCTTGGCCATGATGGCGCCACTGAAACACAAGAAGCGCACCCCTCTTCCTTGAAATAAGCTTGTCAGTATTGACAAGTGGCATAAAACAACGGCAACTATCTTTGAATATGAATCACTTCCATTTATTTGAATCACGATTGATTCGATTCGATATTCACGTGATGTCGATAATTTTCTTCGAATGTCGATTATTTACTTCGATAATTTTCTCACCCGATTATGCTTCAAAGAATTATTAACCTGAGAATTGATAAAAAAGTAACTTTTTTTTTTTTTATTATGGACATTTGTGCCTGAGGGACCATTCTTTATATAAAATATTTTAGGATTTATATTGTAGTCTTATTTGACTGAATTTGTTATTAAAATTTTCAGTACTTATGAGTTATTTAATAAGAAGCAATGAATTTTAGAGAAAAGATTTTAAAAAACTGAATTTAGGGTCTTTTCATTATTTTAACTTATAGCGAATGTAACTGAAAAAATTTGTGATTCAGACTTGAAATTTCAAAATATAATTTATTTCTTTATCATTTAATTTAAAAAATAATTAAAATTAACAATTCAATTATCTCTGATTGTTAAATATAGTGGATATAGGGATGATATAACAATTTACTTTGGACTAAAATATCACTTAGCCTTTTCTTCCACTGAGCTCTTCATAATTGTAGGCTCATTTTATTTTATTTTTGTAACTAACATTGAGCAGTTCACCCATTTCTGAGTTAACAACTAGCAATGTAATTGTAATTTTAAACTCAACCCAGAAGACAAGGGAACTCCTAGATCAAGTACTGGAGCAAACTAGACTCTGTGGAGGACTTTTTAATGGAAATAATCCAAGTTTGCTTAACGCCGAGAGGAAAAGCAAGAAAACCTGCAAAGGTTAGCCAGATGGGAAGGCGTTTCTAACCCATAATACATCTGTCACTGAGAATATTTTAAGTCAGTACTGTGGTCGGGCAAGCCGAAATTAGAATTTGTATCAGTCACTGCTTAGATTCTAACCTGGGTCTTCCCCATAGGGAAATGAGCGCTCTATCTTCTGAGCCACCACGGCTCTTGTGAGTTAATTTTATTTCATTGTATTTTACTTTAATTAAGTGGTGGATAAGGTTCTTTACATATTTCCTATGTTACTTGGCTATGTGCTAGGTTAATTAGAAAAATCTTGAATACTTTCCAAATCTGCCTGGCAGTTTTTAGGCTGATTTTAAATATAATTTGGGGATGAGCTTGATAATGAGCATGAAATAGCCTAATTTATTTCAAGCCGTTTGCACAGAGCGAGCAAAAAAAAAAAAAAAAACNTTTCAACCAAGGTCCTGCTTTTGTGAATTTGTGCAAATAGGGTCCTGTTATTGCAAAAAACTTTTTCAAGGAATTTTTAAATTGTTAAGACATACAAGATTATGTTCAACTCTGTAAAATTATAATTAAAAAAAATTAAATTTTAAAAAATAAACAGCAATTGTTGCTGCTAAATTAGAGATGCAACATACAAATATTTGGTATTTATCCTATACTGCTCAACACAGAATATTCATTTCAGACGAATAAAAGGAAGAAGCGTCTGACGAAGACAAAACTTAGTTCGTTTACATTTGTCTTTCTTTCTCCCCCTTCCTGGGAAGGGTTTATTCGATTAACAAAACAATAATGAAGCTAAACAGATTTGTGAAGGGTCCGATTAAAAGATAAATTATTTTGTGAAGGGTCCGTTTTTAAGTTAAAATATTTTGTGAAGGGTCCATTTTTATGAAAAGATATTTTGTGAATGGTCCTTTAACGAACCCAAATTTCTTCTAAACAGACCCCTGTATGATATTTATAATAGTCATCTTTTAACTGTTTCTGCTTTCTCTGTCAATTAAGTAGGTTTTGATATTTTATACACCTATCTTCTTGAATGGTGATTTGCTAGATTTTAATATTTTTTATTTTTTTCTTAGTTTAAATATCAATTTACCACCTTTAATGTGCTTATTCCTTTTGCCTTCATTTTCGACAAGGATTTTAAATATATATATTAAGGGCATTCATTACAGATCACCCTGTGTTTAAAATATCAAGTCAGGAGAGGTATTAGGTAGCTGAGTGTGTCATCTTCTTCTTACCTTTTGCTAATAACTGTACATTTGAATATTCCAATTGTATTTCTAAAATATTTTTTTATACTAATATATTGTATTTTTTTAAGTGAATGAAATTTACTTTACATTATGTTATCTTTTATTTATGTTAGGATGAGCACAAAATCAACATAGAAGAATTGTATGCTAGACTAGGAACAAATCCAGAAACCGTAAGTAAATTACTGAAATAAATTTGAAAGTAAATTAATATTTTCATATTTCACTTTTTAATTGTGTTATTAATGTTAGCCTCGTGTCATTTGAGCCTTTAAAATAATAATGAGTTTTATATTTTTTTACAGGGTCTCACTGCCATGCAAGCCCGTGAAATTTATGAAAGAGATGGTCCAAATGCTTTAACGCCCCCTAAGAAAATCCCTGAATGGGTGAAATTCTGTAAGCAGCTGTTTGGGGGTTTTGCTCTTCTACTCTGGATAGGTGCAGTTCTATGTTTTATTGCTTATTCAATTCAAGTAGGAACTTCAGAAGGTAGTGTTGAAGATAATGTAAGTTGATAACACTTTGCTCTATATTATCTAATTTTCTTCATAATTAAATTTTTAAGTAAACAAAGAAATTTACTTTTTTAATCAAGGCTCTTATGTCATAGGAAATAAAAAATTTTAGCGAATAATATGCTTCTTTTATGCTGTAAGTTTTTTCCCCGTCACAAGATTTACTGGCCCCGAGACAAAATTTACTTTGAGGCTCTTTCCTCTAAATCCTTCATTCATTATTTGCTGAATTTTTTTAATACCATCTATTCAAAATTTAATTTTATAACCGGCATTGACACCCGACCCAATTCTGTGTTTATGACTATCAATGTTCAACTCCATAGCCTAGAATTTTTGAACCAAATCCAGAAAACAAGGGAATTCTTCGCTAAAGCACAAAAATGAAGTGCTTAAAAGGTACTTATTTTTTGTTGAAAAATTTGACTGCACACTCAAAAAAAAGCAATTATAATTTTACAATTTTAAACAGAATAATTACAGGCAAATCACAATTTTAAACAGAATATTTAGGAAGAGGTGTTTTCTGATGAGAGTTCTGTAAGTAATGACATTTTGAAATAATTAGCAGACGTGTCATAAAGTGAAGTTACTGAATATGTTTATAATAAATGATAATAATAAAATAAAAAATATTTTTTGTCTGAAATCTATCTTCGTAATAAAATTTACCATTTTATTTACTATAATAATTACTTTAAATTAAGCGTTTTATTATCGTTAATTAGTAATGCATGTTTCTGAAGTTTTATGTTGCAGCACAAAGTTCAAAATTTTTCTTTTTTCAAAACGCCTCTGGTATGGTTGTAAGATTTATTTGCAATCTAAAATCCAGGGGTTTACAACATAGGGATCGGCCCTGAACTGTACAATGTATTAAAGCTTCCTTTTTAACTTTTGTTAACGCAAAAATTGCACAGGATTGATGTTATTAATACAAGAGAGGAATCGTAAACATGAAAAATTGTAGATTTTCTAGAACTTTTTTTAAAAAAAGTTTCTCTGAAAAGAATTTTTAAAATCGAAAATAATATAAAATAGTTCACAAATTGATTTGCGAACCCTGATTATTCTCTATTATGTTGAATTTCATAATAAAACTATATTCTGTCTCTTTCAGTTATATTTAGGTATTGTCTTAGCCACTGTTGTAATAGTTACTGGATGTTTCTCATATTATCAAGAAGCTAGAAGTTCTAAAATTATGGAGTCTTTCAAAAATATGGTGCCTCAGGTACAATCCCTTTTTAATAACAACATACAGTGTACAATATTTAGGGAATTTTTTTTAGGCCTACATTAATAATTAATCAGAGAGTTATATGGAAGTATCTAAATTACAAAGTTTGTGGGATTTCTTAAAATCATAAAGTTTTCTATACATTAAACTGTTTTTAGGCTCTTGTTTGCCATATTTAGTACTTAATTGTTTTTAATTTTTATTTTAAATTATTGTTTTGCTTCAGTTATTAATCGCTCTCACCCTCTCTCTATCTCTCTTTGAAGTGAGGGGGATATCGTAGAAAAATTATTGTAAAAACATTAATAATGTCAAAGTTTAAACTTTTTATTTTATATTTCCACTTTTCATTCTTTTTAAGTGCAATTAAATTAATTAATTTAATATAGTCTATATTTTTAGCTGTATGTTTAAAATAATTGCTCAGATAACCTCTTTTGTTATCTTATTCAGTTCTATGTATGAGAAAAGATGCATAAATTTAAAATTTAACTTTGATTTGGGTTTTGCTTATTCTTTCCTTTGTGAATTCTTATATACATGCTGAAAGACAATATTGCCTTTTAAATTTTATTTCTTATTTAGTATGCTACAATTAATTAGAGATATTCATTTTAGCATACTAAATAAAAAGAAAAGTTTAATAAAAGGTCATTGTCTTAGTAATGAATGTTGTATAGTAAATGAAAAGAAATAGATAAATAAAAGTGCATTGCCGACAATCCTTCGAGATAAAAACATAGATTGCTTGTTAAATTTCAAGTTTGTGAAGTGCACTGCCTATTAAATTTAGTGGTGCTGCAATCATTAGATGTAGATCAAAACAGAGATAGGCTATTAAATTCAAGTAAATCTTTAGTTTTAATGTGTTTTTTATTTATTATGTTACAATCATTAGAAAAAAATGAAAACATAAGACATAAATTGTGTTTAATTTTTTGTTCATTTAGTATGCTACAATTATCAGAGAAGGACAAAAACATACGTTGCCTGCTGAAGATGTTGTCGTGGGTGACCTGGTGGAGGTGAAGGGAGGTGATCGTGTGCCTGCAGACATCAGAGTCATTTCTGCTCAAGGTTTCAAAGTCGATAATTCTTCCTTAACAGGGGAGTCTGAACCTCAGACTCGTTCTCCCGAGATGACCAATGAAAATCCCTTAGAAACACGAAATATAGCCTTTTTCTCTACAAACTGTGTGGAAGGTATTTCTTCAAATGATTTCAAGTCTGTTAGTTATTATTTAAAATGTATAATATATTTTCCATTTTGTAAATAATTTATGAATGCTCATTAATTTTGTGTGCTATTGATATTTTATTACTATTGCTCATTGTTTTACTTTTTTCCTCCCTACTTCCTTAAATAAATTTCTTTTACCTATCATATTTAAAGGATATAGAAAATGTTTTTTTCTTTTTTCCCCCCACTTATTTGGATCCTGAGCGTCATAAAAATTTCAATATTAAATTTTATTACAACTTATAAAAGATTAAAATAAAGTAATTACTACTAAATACTTATGTAACCATCAATGTAAATTTTTTTAAATGATAATGCATATTTTTAAACTTGTAATTTTGTAACACGTTTTAGGAAAAATATAACACGAAGTGAATTTAATATTATTTTACTGTTCAAAATTCCCTGGATAAACAAGATTCACTCATTAGATCACTTATGCTTGGAATTAGGACTGGGCGATATTAGAAATTATNTCAGATTTCTGATGCATCGCTTGGAATGAAAGTTGCTGTATCTGTTTGCCGATATAGGCGTTAAATCGATATGTCGCGATATATCGATTTATAGCCCAGTCCTACTTGGAATGTATTTATTCTATTATAATAGGTATTATTTGTAATTTATCAACTGTATGTTGTTAAGTTGGATATCTGTTTAACTTACAAAGTGGCCATTCCACTGCTTAATGAATATCATATTTACAGAATTAATATGCATAAGTATCAATTTTAAAAAAATCATGCAGTTCTAATATTTTTTTTATTAATATAACTAACTCTTGGTGTTATAGATACTTTTTCCAATATTTCATTAATTTACAATCATAAATTTCCTTATAAAAACTGTCACTGTTATCGATATAACACATTGTGCTACATCCTTAACACTTTTAATTGTTCTAAAAAATTTAAAACTAATAAAAATTATCAAGAAATTAGAATTAGTGTTACTGACATTGCTTTAAAAATTTTAACAACAATTATTAGATTTTGCTTGATTTTTTCTTTCTTTTCTTATGACCCATTTTATGTTTTTAAAGTCTGCAAATATGATAATCTTGAATGGCTGATATTTTGAAAAACTTTTAGAAACTTTTTTTTAGAAAGCACCTTTTTTTTCAGGTACTGGTAGAGGTATTGTCATCAACACTGGAGATCGTACAGTAATGGGACGCATTGCTAATTTAGCATCCGGTTTGGAGATGGGTGACACACCCATCGCAAGAGAGATTGCCCACTTTATCCATATCATCACTAGCGTGGCCGTTTTCTTAGGTGTTACATTCTTCGTTATAGCTTTCATCTTGGGTTATTATTGGTTGGATGCTGTTATATTTTTAATTGGAATTATTGTTGCAAATGTACCTGAAGGTCTTTTAGCTACTGTTACAGTAAGCATTTTTAGTAACTATTCTTGTCAAATCATTGATATAATTTAAAACTATAACATTTACTAATTTTCGTATTAGAATTACTGTAGAAAACTTATATAATGAATTTTCATAAACCTAAATTCTCCATGAAATAGCGAGAAATAGTCTTATGAGAGAAAAATTAACCATAGAACTGTACACATCATAATAGTCAATACCTTGTAGTTGCTTAAATCCTTGTGTAGCGAGTTTGTCGTTGTGCCCCACAATTTTATTTTATTCATTCTGTTTTAGATTGTACATCCATCTATTACCTATAAACTTATCACCTTTTGGCTTCTCAACTAATGATCATACTTTTCCTTTCTTTATCATTTCAATTTTCTTTTCCATAGCATTATTCCATGTTTCACAATTTCTTGGCTCAATTGCTTCTTAGCAGTTTTTTTGGTATACTATATTCAGTTAAATTTGCTCCTTCTTCTTCTATGTTCTATTGCCATTTCTGGTTACTTCGCCCGACCATTTTTACCACTAAAATCACATATATCTTTTTCAAATTTTATTTTTTGACTGTCACAATATTACTCAATGTCATTTGATGCCCCAAATTAGTTTTTAGACCCGTCTATGTAATAATAAATATAATTTCTGGATCTTTCTGATTTAGTGGCTTTTTCTCAACCAGTTTAAATCTGATGCTTTCATGACTACAACTTGAGTCAAATTCTAGCCTATAAATATCCTTATCTTCTGATTCTTCTTTTTCCTTTCATTTTACTCTTCCCGATGGTTTTGTTCTTAGGTCCCCGATGACTTTCACTGCAAATTCATTTTCCTTGAATTTTGCATTCTTTGTTTCGATAACTTTAAGATCTTCTATTAAAATAACACAATAACCTTTGGTTTAAAAAAAAAGCATTGCCTAGCATTGTCCCTTCTTTAGAATGCTTTAGGAGTTTGTTTCCTTTTTGTTTTGGTACATTAACATAAGTTATACGTCCAAATGCATTACTGGTGGTTTTTTTGCCATGTAGTATCTCGTATAGCATTTCCTTTTCTTTCTTCAAAATTCTGTTCCCTGTATGAACAGAGCGAAGTCCCACCATTCTTAAATCATCTTACTATCTTTCAACATAGATTTTCCCTAATCAGTTCTTCATCATTTTTATCAACAGTAAAATCTTTTATCTTTCCAGTAATAGATTAACCTGAGAGTTCATGTGGTAGGTGACTTATTGCTTGTATACCTGAAAACAATTGATCCAACTCTTAACCCACTTCACTAAGCTTTTTCAATGCTATTTTAAGTCAAGCAATAAAAATACCTATACTTTCATTTGCTTGGTATTTTATTCTTAAAAAACTCATCAGGCATCTGATTGATCTTGTCTTTGGTTCAAGTTGTTGAACCAATTTCTCCCAAGCTTTCTTGCCATCTGAACAATCTTGAATAAGTCGTCTCAACTCTGGCTTAATTGCATTGTACAGACTTGAAAGTGATCTATCTTTTCACATTCCTGTTTTTCTCTTCTTGCAGCTGAAACTTCTAACTCTTCTTCTTTACCTTATATAAATTCCAACATTATTTATCTAATAAAAAACTTCAATGTCTGTCTTCCACCTATCCCAATTGACATGTCTTATCAATGCCAATTCATAATCAATTGGGATAAATCTTTCAGGTAGCAATGCCATTTTTGTTTTAAATTCTTCAAAATAAACAACATTATTGAAAAGAAAAAAAACTCTTAAAACAAAAACAACTACATTCAACAAACTATTCAGCACTCAACTAAAAACAGCACATAACTAGCAAAAAACATTTAAACTTCCAAGGAAGAAAATGAGATATCCACTCAGAAAGCGACAAAGATTAGCACTTTATTAGCATTAGTTTATTAGCACTTTGAACTTAAATTTTAATGCTTACATTTTGCTAAATTTTCCAACAGTAGTATCATCTACAAACAAAAGTGATCTAGAATTGCATTTTTTGTAATTCACTGTTTGGTTATAGGTATGCTTGACCTTAACTGCCAAAAGGATGGCTTCCAAAAACTGCCTTGTGAAAAACTTGGAAGCTGTGGAGACTTTAGGATCTACTTCGACCATTTGTTCTGATAAAACAGGGACCCTCACACAGAATCGTATGACTGTTGCACATATGTGGTTTGATAATCAAATCATTGAAGCTGATACTACAGAAGACCAATCGGGTACGATATAAATTAGTTTCTTATTTTTATAGTTTTTTTAGCTATAAGTTACATAAAATGTTACCATTTAATGCTGTTTGATGGATATTTTACGAATTTTCTTCTCTTTTTTGTCTTCTCTTTTTGGTGTTTATAATAAAATGTTTTAGAACTATAACCAAATTACGCTAACCTCACAAAGAATTCTCGCATGTCAATCAGGAGTTTGTCAAATTGACACTTGCTATAAGGAGATCAGCAACAAATGGACGAGCAAAATTTTTTAATTTTTAAAATTATATGCCACTTCAAAGAATAAACAATTTTAGATCTTATTTTCTTCTTGCAAATGCAATAAAATTATTATTCAGTTTTTTGTTCTATGTACATTGTAATTAATGTTTAAAAAATTTTTCAAACGAAGTTTTTAATTTTTTTTTTTGGGGGGGGGGACAAAAAATAGCACAGAAATCATGGGTGCAAGTATTTGTCCCCAGGACGGATTTCCGTCTTTTGAAAATGTCCACAGACGGAAACAAGACTGACTCGAAGACGGAAATCGGAAAAATATTTTTTCTGTCCTTAAAAATATTTTTTAGGTCTGCTCTCTACTACTTAAAAATATTTTTTAGGTCTACGTTATTGGTCTACTTTCTTATGTCCTGTTGTTATTTTATCAAAAGAGAGATGAATAAATATTTTTTGTACAGTATTTAAACTTGATGTATTATGGTAAAGCTTTCTTAGATATTTTGCATATGTCGAGGGGGTATTGTGTATGTTAGGTATTTCAGTCAAAAAATTTTCAGTCTTGGCCTTTTTTCCAACTTGCACCCATGACAGATATTGAGATTCCTTTTTTAAAAAAGTGTAAAGGATCCTATTTACTGGACAGAGTCAGAACAATGTTTTGATGAAAAAACATTTTGGTGATAAATTATTTAAGAACCCCAATATTTTCAAACTTAATTACCATATTTATATTTTTATACATTCCTTTCATTTTTAGGTACACAACATTAATGGTCCTTACAACTAAAGCCCCACTTAAATAATCATCTAAAAATGTTTAAGTAAATCTTTTGTTTTTCTGTTATATATTATTTTTTAATTTATATAAAGTTCTTTTGTAGAAGTCCCCTAGAAATTTGAAGTCTTTCTTTTCTATTTTATTTATATGATATAATACAAAACAAGGTTTATAAATTTTTGGTAATAAAAAAAATTACATTTTCACATAAAAATCAAAATTATAAATATTTAAAAGAAAAAACATTTTATACCACAGGTGTGAGGCTTCCCTTAAATCGGAGAAATTTGAGGCTGTAGCCGACTGTTCTATTTGTCTTTCCCTTACAATGCCCCTGACCGAAGTAATAAACTTTTGGATTATCTGATTGATATAATCTTCCTTTCTCTTTTTTTGGAAAAAAGATGCTTAACTTTGGAGTGACATATTTTTCAGAAGTTAAAGTTAGAATAAGAAGCTAGAGCTTATTAAAAAAATTTAATAAAATTCTGATAAAATATGTTATTATGGAAAAGCAACGTTCTTATGTTACTTCAATCCATAAATTGATCTTATTTTTTTCATTTTTATCTAATTTAATATTTAAGAAATGCATTTCAAGTTTAAATTAAGCTTGTAATACATAGAGTTTCAATAAATAAAGTTGAGTAGTTTAAATTATGCACAAAAATTTTTCAACTTGTTGACTATTCTATTTGTCCCCTACTAATGTAATCTTGTGAAATGCAAAGCAAAGAAGAAGAAAAAAGAGCCAATTTTTTTTTAAATGTGGTAAATTTTTTTAAAGTTTTAATTTTAAGGATTTTTTATGCAGATTCTAGTTTTCAGCTTCTGGCTTGATTTTTCTAATATTAATTATTTAAAGATACATTTGTCTTTATTTTTGGTTGATCTACATATATTTGTTTGGTGTATCAATGTTTTTTATTTTTTTTATTTTAATTTTGCAACAACTTATTTGATGTTGGTGTTTCAGCGAGAAATGTTGTTAAGTGTTTCATTTATTTCCATTAGTGATTTTTCATTTTAAGTGTTTACCCTTGCATCTTTATACTCAAACTACTTTAAGAGCTGCATGATAGCTTTTTTTGTGTAAAACTACTTTCATATCTATTTTATTGCCCTGCTGTCCTTTAATGTCTACTCATTTCATTGATTTATGTTTAGATGCTTTTGTTTAGCTTTGTGTCTTCTACCGGGTATGTCCAAAAAGTAATGTCACTGAATTTAGACTGAAGCTTATACGCTTTCTCGCCTCTCAGACATGTTGGGAAAGGTCAGCTTACACAAGAGCAGTCTCGATTTTCTCTGGCCACCTGGGGATAAAGACAGATCAAAATTCCTTTCTTGTAAATCCCTTTACTTTGTAAATTGTTCCGAAATTATATTCTTTTATGTGAGTTTTCAAGTACCGGAATAAAAAGAAGTCTAAACCATGCCAGGACTGTGGTCATGTGCCGTTTGCACCTTTGAATTTGTCATAAAATGGGCCACAAAGAGGGTGGAGCAGTAAAATATGTTGTCATGAAGAAATTTCCAATTGTCTGAAATTTTGGGTTGATACCTTTTGGAATGTTTATTATCGTTAAATGAACATATAAATGAGGGACTGGGTTCAAACATCACATTTTTGCCAGTGGTGGTCTTTGATGACCTTCTATCTTAAACTTATAATTCATGACCGTCAAAGAATGAACTAGGCCAATGTTAGACTTAGTATTCTGACGAACAGACACAACCAAATTTTGTCTTTATCATTAAAAAATCTTCCACTGTCAACTTGGTAACTTGCACACAAGACAAAAATTAATATGATGATACCTGTCTTTACTCCTCTTGACTGGTGAGAGATCAGGGTGCGTAGCCTTTTTAAAAAGTGCTTAAAGGTGCTTATTTATGTTTTTTCAAAGCCTTTTAAGGTGCTTTTTTCATTTAGTGTTTTTAAAAAGTGCTTAATTTTACCTTTTCCAAATTGAGATTTTTCCTTTACCATGTTGATTTTCGCTACGAACTATACAGAAGATACAGTTCACATTGTTCTATTCAACATTTTCATGATTAATTCAAACCCAATCTATTATGTTGCATCGTCAGACCGTAACTTATGAAAACAACATTCGATTTACATGATTCAAAAATCTTGACAATTGTGAAAAACAATGCCAAAAGAATTTTTTTTGGACATGACTGTTAAAACCAGATAAAACCGTCAATTGTCAAAAACTTTCCAACCCTGCCTAATTATGATATTCTTTTAAAGTGCTTAAAAATATTATTAGAGTGCTTGAAAAGTGCTTAAAAGGTGCTTATTTTTTGTTGAATTATTTGGCTACACACCCTGGAGATGACTGAGCTTTAAGCTGACCAACCCCTTGAACAGGCCCGAGTGTGTTGAGTACAATTCTTGCGATAATTTAAGTGGCATTGCTTTTCAGACACACCTTTTGTGCTTTTTTGCTTTAAATGATGATATTATAAATGTTTTTAGACTTTATCATGAGACACCTATACTATGTCATGAGAGATTCATATCCAGCACTGGTCCAATCAAACAGTTGGTATAATCCCCATATTATAAGCTCCTCCTTCAACACCTTAGAGGTATTAACACTAGAGTGTTGGATATCCATCCTCTTTTAAAAAAAATGTAACATAAATGGTTTCACGAATGTTGTTAGAAAAAAAAGGAAAAGCGATTCTGCAGTTTTAGTTTTCACCAAATAGATGTTAGATCCACTTCTATGCATGGAATGTTCACCCCACCATGCAGTTAACTCTCGTCTGATCCCATTTATATTCTCTCTGTGTGTCATATTACAAAAATCAAACTATTGTCGTTCTTTATATGTGTTTTTAAGAGACCTGTTTTCTAATTAATAATTAACATAGATTAAAGTGCCGATTATCTGGAACAGTTGAGAACCAATGAAGTCCATTAAACAAAAAATATGGATAGCTGGGCAACTTCAAAAACAGTTATGGTGTTATTTATTTAACCCTTTATAGGTCAACTTGTTCTAAAAGTATTATGTTGAGATAATTTTGGAATTAAGATTGATTTATAAAGAGAAATTATTTAAGCTTATTACCTAAAAAATTAATTTGATTATTTAGCAGGAAGGTGGGTTAGATTTATAAAAGTTTACCTATTGTAAATAATTGGCCATAAGTTTGAATTTCTTTGCTTATAAATAACCAAATTTATTAACTCTGGGTCTATAACTACAAAGAAACTCTGAGAAATGATTAAATTAACAAACTTATAACATACAAGAGAAAATGGCTAACTGGTGTTGGCCTCTGACGCCCGATGGCTGAGTGGTAGAGCGTTACACTCTCATGCCACGGGTCTCGAGTTCTATCCTTGGACCAGGCAAGGTTGACTCAGCCTTTCTTCCCTTCAGTCGGTCAATAAAAAGAGAACTAAGCATACTTGGAGACTAAACACTTGGGGTTCTGCATTAAGCTGACCACCCAGCCTGATCATCTGCTTTTGCACCATAGAGCCAAGGTAAAGAAAACTGAGACGAGTACAGTAGGCCCTTAGCCCTCTCTGTGTTGTTGCGCAACTGAGATAATAGTTGGCATCTATTCTGGACCCTATGTTGACATTTACTGTTACTCTTACCTTTGACAAGCAAAGCACTATAAAAAAGGGCCCATCATTTTATTTTTTTAAAGTTAACTGCAAAAAGGCCACACAATTCATAAAATGAAAATAGCTTTCCATTAACATTTAAACATTAATAAAGCTGGTGGAAAATATGTTTCCCACTGCTTTATAAAAGGTGAAATAACTTCCCTCTTTTCTCAGACTACAGGATTATTTGATGGTCTATTGCCATATTCAAGTGCTGTGTTGTTTCTGTTTTCACGTTACTTTATTAAATTAACAATCTGCAGCAACAGTAGTGAAACTTTTTACCATTTCCAGACTTTCTTTAAAACACCTACAAAACATTTTTGTTTAATATCAGTGTGCTTCTGAAGCAAACCTTTTGGACATTTACAATTTCTAGACGTTCTTTTAAACATTCCCTGCGCCTACGAAGCATTTTTTTAATAGGATATGTACTCCAGTGTGCTTCTACTGGACACATGTTCCTTTTCTGTCTAATCCTTAGAAAAAATAGGAACTCTTTCCTGTTGCTGAAAAAACTTATTCCCACTACATCCTTCCCTTATTTAAACTAAGTAGAATAAACATGAACTGCAAAGGGGTCCTTTTTAAATGGTCATTTCCATTTTTAAAAAAAAATTGGAGGAAGTGGGGAGGGAAATGCTTTGTCCTCAATTAATCTGCTTAATTGGACAATCCGGTTCATCAGCATCTGGGTGAGCGACCCTTTACTTTACTGTAGTAAGATCTCTTGAGCCTAAAATGCTTTCACAATATGATAATTGCAAATTATTCAACTGTAGTGCAAAATTGTCCTCACTCAAATGGGATTTGTGAGAGTTTTCTGTATTATAGATTGCATGAGAATCGTATCTTGCATGTTGTTCATTGTGCTTGCAGTTTTAAAAGAGTACTAACATTTAGCTTGGTGTGTTTATTTTAGAGATGTATAGCTAGTAGTTACTGCTATAATGAGAACCACATTTTTTTTGTGTGTAAATACAGTAATTTTCAGAACATGTACTGTGGCTTATATGTGCTTATGCTTTTGGGAGTACGGTGTGCAAAATAAAATAGAGAACACCCGGAACTCTATTTATGCGTAAAATTACATGACTGACATGAATTTGTGATTTTTTTTTTCTAATCTAAAATATTGGGGCCACTTGGCATCTGGCATTTCAAATTTTGGATTTATTGATTTTAAAATGTGCTTATTATTTATCAATGGATATTTATTGATGTTTCTTATTGATATGCAGAAGAGATTAAGTGTAGCTTAGTCTATGATATTTGAAATATTTTCAAATGTTTTTCACTGGTGTGATGCATTTTTTGGAAATTACTGTAGTTATGCACATGCAATATTGGTTTCATTTTACAGGTTAAAAATGTGTCATTTGTCATCAAATGTTAAAAGACTTATACTTCCATAAAATAATTGTCATTTCATCAAAATGTAACTAATATTTCATGTGCAATGATGTTTTCACGTAGTTCAATGAATATTTATATGCATGTTATGATAGTTAATTGCTTGATATTGCATTGTTCATACGTTGCAACTAAAAAAATAGTATCTGACTATTGAATTAGAATTTGTAAATGTATAATTAAAAATTATGTACATATGTGCTGGAGAGAAATATTTTAAAAAGGTAATATTTTTTACATAAATTTTAGTTGCGTTTTGATTCTGTTAACTCTTAACTAGAATTGTATCGAATAACTGTTGACGATCGCTTGGGATTCAACTTTAATTGTAAACCAAATGCTCTACATCACAGTATTTTAAATCAGATTATGTATGGGGGTGACAGTCACTTGTTTTCTTAACTTTGCTCTCCAACTGCCCAATCATGTGTGAATTTTTCCTGCTCTGAAACTGTGTAGTATATGATATTAGAATGGATTTTAAACCATTAAGATATTATCTCTAGAAGTGAGATTTAGTCAGATATGCAGCTTTCAACACTGTGAATCAAACCTCGAATGAAGCGTAGGTAAACAAAAGCCGAACGCATGTCACTGACTGGGCGACTTATTTCACATATACAGGCTTGTATGCTCACTGCAGAGTATCTCACATTAACCATCTTTGTGGCACAGTGTCAAATTAAAAATATTGTTAATCATTATCTTCGATTTGAAATATTTTTACTTCGTGTTTTGGCATTAATTCTTTTATTTTGTCGTTCAGTGTTCACAATTTTAAAATATCACATTTTATTTTTGTTTTTAAAAGTTTGTCATTGGAACGAAAAGTAAAATATGTTTTGAATTTTAGTCCACACTGTTTTCTAAATATCTATTTGTGAAACTTCAATGCTTTGTCACCACATTTTTTTTTTAAAAGATTAGCTTAATGGACCTGAAACATCTTAAGCTATAACATTTTATAATAATTTTTTTTTTTTTTTTTTTTTTTGAGATGTTGTAGGTTTTCAAATTTTGCTACCATAAAGTAGGGNAGCAGTTTCTCTCTCTATTTTTTTTTTTTAATTTTTTTTTTAAGATTAGCTTAATGGACCTGAAACATCTTAAGCTATAACGTTTTATAATAAATTTGTATTATTTTTTTTTAAAGTTGGATTCATTTGTAGCAGATGCTTAAGTAAATTATTTATCAGAGGTAAATTTGAATGTTTTTTTTTTCTTCAGGATTGCAATATGATAAAACTTCATCTGGTTGGAAAGCTCTGTCACGTGTTGCACGCCTGTGTAGTAGAGCAGAATTCAAACCTGGCCAAGAAAATGTTCCTATCTTGAAACGGTAAGCATAAATATTCATTCTTATAAAAATTTGTATAATTAAAATTATTACTCTTAATAATGAAAGGGAAAGTAGAAAATCAATGTTCCAAAGATAAAGGAAATAGATGTTTTATGCAACCAATAATTTTTAAAATATCAAGGAAGATTAATTTAGCTATTGTTTTGCATGTTGTTTAGCCTACATATTCAGGTGTCTACTGATCATGAAAGTCTCGAATTTGAAAAAGGATCCTAAAAATCTGGAGAACATCACAATTTGTTTTATGAAGTCACAAAACATTTATTTTTCAAGCACTGCACAAACTCAAATTTGAAATTTATGTGTTTTAACAAAGTTTTCAGAAGCTCTGTCACCAAAGAACATTAAAAAGTCACAGTTTAAGTGCCTTACACTTGAAGCAAAGCGTTGAATTTAGACTATATATATCATCTTGCTGTGAAGTTTATCAGGGCTTAAAAACGAACTAATAATTCAATGTTTCAAAAGTTATTAAATTTTTTTGAAAATCGCCAATTTGGTAACATTTTTCTAATTAGAAAAGAAGTATCAAAATCACTGCTTTATTCGCAGTTGTTTTTATAAAACCACATAATGGTGCATTGGAGTAAGATTAAAAATTTAAACCATAAATGCTTTTTGTTTCCATAAAACTGTGACTTTTCTCTATATTGGTGTTTCTTTGTCATTTTCAGAATAAACATCAATAGTGATAACTTTTGATAGGCTAAACTTGCAAACTCACAGCAATTATGCAAAAAGAACATCATTTCATGTGACGAAAAGGCCTTCGAAAAACAACCTTAATAACGTGGTATTAAGAATGTTAAATTGCATAGAAAAATAACAATACTTGAAAATATTTTGACACAGTATTATTCCATATGTCTATTTGAATAATGTATAATCTTCTTGCTTGAGCTTGTCAGATATGTGGCACCTTTGCATATGTTGTATTTTGTACCATGCTCCTAGCCCAATTTTTCCTAGTTCCATTGTCTTGGGTCGCCTACTTTGTCTAGATTGTCTGACAGTCCCTTAATGGAATTAAGGTGAAGCTCTTTAGGATATGGATTGCCTAAGGTAGTGAGGCGCGTAAGGGCGAGGGCATCACACTCGTATGTGCACACACATGTATAATGCTTTGGAGGAGCTTGTCACCAACATTTTCCCCAATTAAGCAATATATCTGGTTAATAATCAACCGAAAAATTGTGTTGTTTTTTATATTTTATTAATCACATAAATGTAAAATGTATTCAATAACATTTACGCGGATTGAATAATTTCTATTTAAAAAAAAAATAATAAATTATTATTTTATTGAGGTCATGAATTTTTTTTCCCTTTGCTATATTAACACATTTCTTTTTGTTCTTTCCAGTGAATGTAATGGAGATGCATCAGAATCGGCTATACTGAAGTGCATGGAATTGGCCACTTCCAATGTGGCTGCCTATCGAGATCAGAACCGTAAAATCTGTGAAATTCCCTTCAATTCTACTAACAAATACCATGTATGTAATGATTTACTAAGATAGTTTATACAATTAGATAGTTTATTAATTTTATATTATTGTTTCATTAACCTCTCTCTCTATTGAAAGGTGACGATCCATGAAATAGACGATTCAGGGACTACAAGCTATTTACTGTGCATGAAGGGTGCTCCAGAGAGAGTGCTCGATCGATGTTCCACGATTTACATCAATGGTAAAGAGAAGGTTCTAGACGATGAGATGAAAGAAGCTTTCAACAATGCATATCTAGAGCTAGGGGGACTAGGGGAGAGAGTTATAGGTTTGTCCTGCTTCTTCTAAGATTTGTTCAATGGCAGAATGTGTTTAATCAGAAAATAAAATAGAACCTTAATTATCTTAATCATTTTTCATCTCAATACCTCTTTATCAAAATAGACTGAGAAGTTTTTTTTATGTGTGCATATAACTTTGTTCTTTTCTCCATTTCATTAATATGCTGCCTTAATTTAGCTGAACATAAAAACTTCTAAATTTTAAAAATCATACGACCAATACTTTTCATATTGAAGGATTATATAAAATGGGTTATTTTATATGAATAATATTTTGGCTGGTTTGGTTTTATTGACTTTGTTAGTTCTTTTATTGCAAAGAAATACCATTTGTTTCTTCAATTGTTTTCTCCAATGTAATTTAGTTTGAAATACTAACACTTTTTCTAAGAAATAAAGAGTAGTATGTTATTTGTGCAAGGAAAAAAATATGTGTTTATTGATATCAAGGAAAAGCCTTATGAAACTTGCTAAGGAATGTTCATAATTAGATTCTGCTTTATTAAAATGGTTTGTATAAATAAGGAGCGAAAGGTGGGATAAAATTCTTTATTCAAACTAGGAGCGAAGGAGTATCGCTATGTGAGACAATAATGCAAAGGAATTTTAGTATAAAATATAACACTTATTTAACAAAAAGACAATTATTTAATGGTCATATTAGGAATAAATGCTACATAGTGCTGTTTTGAAAACAAAGAAAGTAGTGGTTCAGAGTTTATTGATGAAGGTAGATTAAAACATGATCTTATTTTGATTTATTTAGATTATCCAAAGTAGGGATTTTCCCAATTACTTAAGATAAGAGGTTCTCATATTAAATCGGAATCTCTCGAATCAACACTTAATAGGAAAAATATATTTATATTATAATTTTTTACACTCTCAGTGTTTTAAAAAAAAACTGATTAGTCTATTCTTCATAAGTGGCATTAAGTTTATTCACCGTTTTTATTTATTTATTTTTAAATTGTTAGAGTATGCTGAATATGATAGAATATTGTTATAACATTTAGGTTTCTGTGATTTTGTCTTGCCAACGGAACAATATCCTGCTGGCTACCCTTTTGATGGAGATTCACAAAATTTCCCCATTGATGGTCTCCGGTTTTTAGGTCTCGTATCCATGATTGATCCTCCACGAGCCGCTGTGCCAGATGCCGTTGCCAAGTGCCGAAGTGCTGGAATCAAAGTTAGTTACTATATCAGCATTAATAAAAATGTTTAATATTTAATTTAAATTTTATGGTCTTAATGTTCCATTTAGAGATGCCAATTACTATGAATTTTCTACACTTAGTGCTACATGTGAAAGAAAGGCAATGTGAATAAAGCACAAATAATGGCATAAAAACAGACATTTTATAAATTAGGATCTTCCCTAGTCTCAAATCACGGAAACAGTATCTGCATTTTGACACCGAAAAAGGTTTGTACCGAAACTGTAGTCGGGTTTTTCTGCTATTATTTGGACATTTTATACACAATGTTGATTCAATTTATAGAAATAATTTTATTCAACTTTTAATGTATAGTTTTTTTACTCTTAAAGTTCATTCATTGTAAAAAGCTTAACATTGTTGAATTCAATATTTTTCATTAATATTTTTTTACTGTTACACAATTATTTTTTCAGGAGATAATTTTTTTCTAATGTGAATTACTCTCATTTAATTTTGCATATTATATTTGTATTTTAGTAATAAAATGCTGATTTTCAAGTTATTTTCAAATAAAATAATTGATTTAGAAAAATAACTTCATCTGGAATATAACAAATTAAACAGTTGTTGCCACAATCAAGATCTTTCATCAAAAAAAAATTTTTTTTAAATACAAGTAACATATATACTATTCAGTTCTTATTGATAATGATTTTATTCTTTCTTATAGAAGTATAATTTAAAACAGAAAATGTATTTCTTATTAGCTTTGGAAAATATCATCATATTATGAACATTAAAAGACAACTAATATAGAAATTTTGGTTTTAATTCTTTGTCAGATTATTGCTAAATCAATTGCTAATTGCATTTTTATTCTTGTCTTTAAGGAAAAGATTAATATTTTAAATTTGGACCTACTTTAGGCCAAAAAGGACCCAGAAATTTAGAAGTCCTAGTGTTTATAAAGTCTAGCAGAATCACTGCGAATATTTATAGAGCACTAAAATTAATCCACTATTTTATTGTAAGTTTGTAGTGGTTGAGCACACAAATACGGTTAAATATGAATTCGAAATTCTTCCAGAAATTTACTTGTTCACAAGGAGAAACATTCCTTCTTAATATTTTAAGTTTTTGACATCCAAAAGTTATAATTTATATAAAGGTTGTAACATTCAAAAGTCTATTGACTGACGTTCCTTGTCAAAATTCAGTATTTTGTTTATTTTAAGGTCTTTATTTATACCTCTCTCAGTAGTTACATAGTGATTCATCAGGGGGGCAAAGTGGTTGCAATATATGTCATAGATATATATTTTTCTACAATGCATGTCATGAGTTATGTAATTAAGATATATTTATCATTTCAAGTGATTTTTTATAGTTAATATTTAGGACTTAGCTGTTGCCATTCATGCTATGTAAATTAGATAACAGAATAATACTTCTAGGTGTTTGTTTCTCGCTCTCTTTTTCCCTAGCCTGTTAAACCGCGGCATTGCTTTGTTGCACGTCCAACAAATGTGATAAATGAAAGATGAGGCCCTGAAGTGTTACATCTTTTTATGCCCTGATTCTGATGTTAGGTATTCCCGTAGTTCTGAAAAGTGAATTCTGAAAGACAGCCTGAATTGTGCCGAACATGTAAATAACTGGGGCTTGGGTTAAAGTCTGAGAGCCTTGACAAACCTTCTGCCACCAGCTGCTACGTTGCTTGGGGAATGCCGTGTCTGTTCCAATAGTGGATAAAATGATGACGTCATGGAAATTGAATGTGCCGCCAGAATGATGGATTGCCAAGTTGTGCAAAAGAACTAATAGTGCCATTGAACTTAAAGCTGTGTGATACAAGCTGTGCAAATGAATTCTAAGCATCATGGAACTCTTATGGAAATGCTCACCTATATTTGTTATGAGTACTGATTCCCCATTCTTCTACTATTTTTCGATATGAGCTTGCAACAAAATATCGTTTCTTGCAAACTCCTGTTTTAATACTACAAGTGGTACGTTATAAGGTTTAACTTATTGCTTGCATTGAAATTTATCCTTTTATTCATTAAAATTAGTATTAACAGTTTTTAACTTTAGGAGGTCCTTTTAAATTATACTGTATAAAATAAGTATTCTTATTAACAATTACCGAGTATAGCTTAATAATTACTTTTAACATAACTGTGTGTGTCATTCTGATTTTTNGAATATAATTAAGTATCAATATGAGCATAGCAAATATTGCGGGATGCCGTAAATGTGTGTTGCGCGAGTGCTACTGATGGCCAGGTAGGCAAAGTTGGAGGGTATGTGTTTGTGTCATTCTGATTTTTAAGTTATTTCTTTTGACAATTTTAGGTTATTATGGTCACTGGTGACCACCCAATCACTGCCAAAGCCATTGCAAAAGCTGTTGGAATCATATCTGAAGGAAATGAAACTGTTGAAGACATTGCTCAGAGATTGAATATTCCAATTGATGATGTTAATCCAAAGTAAATGCTTCATTTAGTTATTTTAATTGCTTAAAAATATGCTTTAAAATAGAATGAAGCTGCCCCACCAGCCTCTTGATTTCATCCGATTGTGTAATAACGGCTCTGCTCTTGTGTAACTATCACTATCATTGCTTCAATCTAAATTGTGGTGTATCGACAATGTCACTAGGAGCATCACTAGAGATGAATACCTGACCATCACCAATAGCCATTTAGTGCAGCGTTCCCTACAAAATAATTAAAATTATTGTTGCAATGAGTTAAATTATCCTAATAAATTATACAGTTTAAACAGGATCTCTGCTGGCAACTAAAATGTGACAATTTGTTATTAAAATCAATGTGAGTTTCTTTACAAAAAGTGTAGTTTCAGAGAATTGCCTATTAGTTTTTTAAAAAATGGTGACCTCACTCAAATCTATTTTTGTGTGGTTGATAGGGACCATGTAAAAGAATCACACAAAACTTCATGAGTAGCTATGAAAAATAGTTTATGCAACACAATTAAAAATAATTTTTTTATGCGGTGAAAAGAGACCGCATAAAAACAGGTGTCACAACAAAAGTGTCTCCTTGACTAATTACTGTAATTGTTTGTTTTTCCAGTGATGCCAAAGCTGCTGTTATTCATGGTTCAGAATTGAGAGATATGGCACCAGATCAAATAGACGACATTTTACGCAATCATACCGAAATCGTATTTGCCAGAACCTCACCCCAGCAGAAACTAATCATTGTTGAAGGTTGTCAGCGGCAGGGGGCAATTGTTGCAGTAACAGGAGATGGTGTGAATGACTCGCCTGCTTTGAAGAAAGCTGATATTGGTAAATATATTCTTTATTATCTCTGGTATTTGAGCTTTTATTGTTATGCAACTACTTTGCTCCAATCTCACAGGGAAAAGAAAGAAGATTAATGTTCCTATTACAGTCAATTAAAAAAATCCTTAATTACTGTAGAAAAAGCATGACAGCAGATTAATTAAGTAAATATATACTGTTAACACTAAAAAATAGTCTCTCAGTAACTTTGACGTCTTTGTTTTCTTTTAAAATTATTTTATTTTATAACTGGCGTTAAACAGTTTACTCATTTTCAAATTTACTCCTATCATTATTATACTTAGTAGCCTTGTAATTTTGACCCCTATCCTTAACACAAGATAGTGAGGGACTTTTTGGTCAAACTAACTTGCATCTTCTCTACATTGAGAGGTTACAACATATTGTAAGTCTGACAGCAAAGAGATTCTAGCCCATATTTGATCAACTAAGGATATTTTGCATCAGCCCTGAGGTTGATACAAACCAGGAGTTAAAATTCCATCTCTGCAATTTGAACCAAAATCATATCATTGGGAGATCCCCGCAACTGGACTAATTAAAAATATCTTCTAATCTTTTGTGACTGCCAACATCTTCTCGATTTTGAAAAAAATTTGTGTTATCAATTTTTCTTGAACAGTTCTATGGCCTTTTCTGCTTCTTTTGTTGTAACTTCAAATACATTGATATGCTTTTAGATATTTCCATACTCTGAGAAAACTTTTGCATTATCACAGATTTCTGACTCTGCCTAGTTTTTGCATGTTGCCACTTGCAAAAAAGTTTTGAAAGAAATGTTTGCATACAAAAAAGATTTTAGGACATTCCATTTATAGTGAATTTATTTCTAACTCTTCCTCAAAAAATTTTATGAATTTATTCATATTTCAACTGTATTCCAATTGGAAAATAACCTCATAACCCCAAGCTTTTAAAATTTTCTATTAAACATTTTTTTTTTTTTAAAGTTAACTTCAAATCTTTATAGTGATAAAGAGTGAGGCCATTTTAATGAAGTTTACAATGTTGCTCATTAGGGGATCATTCACTCATTAATTTTTATTGAGTTTAAAGTCTTGTCACTAAAAATGAGGTTTCTATGATAAGATTCGCTATTTCTTTAATTTGCTTTATTAATTTTCTAACATGAGGTTATACGATAAGATTTGCGATTAAAGTTTTTTTTTACATCTTAATAGTTTTGTTTACCTTGTAATTTAGTTTTAGTTACAGCTTTGTGATTAATTGCTAACATTTCATTATTTCAAAATAGTTAAAACTTTTTTCAAATGTTATATTTTAAACATGATAACCGATATGTTGAAAGTTTTATTTTTGAAACTTATGAATCTGCTTGTATAAAGTTTAAAAAATTTAGTATAATTTGTAATTTAGTATAATTTTTTTAACTCTTTGTTTTATAAATTAAACTTAAAATTCCTTTTATTAGAAAGATTTTAAAATAATTGCAAAATTTGGTTTTGCATTTCAGACATTTTGGGGAGAGAAAAAAATATGGTTTTAATTTTTCATTTATTTATTTGCATATTTTTGCTATTAAAATATTTTAAAAAATCAAGGGCCACAAACAAACTAAATTGATTAAAAAAAAAATTTTTTTTTTTTTTTGCTACATGCGTGGTATGCAGTTTTGAGTGTAGAGTATATATATATATATATATGTTGCATACGCCATGCAGCGCCACCTGTAAGTAAGCAGACTCCCTTACATTCTCTCACTGAACGGCTACGGGGAGCGAGCTCATTAAGATGTTCCAGCTCTAATTATTTTGTACTGCCATTTAAGTGTTTTTTGTCATAATAAAAGCTTTAAAATGCAACCCTAGACTGCTTTGAAGCTTCATCGACACTCCCCGTCCGTAACATATATATATAATAAATAAATACAAGAAAACACGAAGAAAGTTAAGAATATATATATGAAAGTGTTCATTTATTTCAAAGTTTAAGTGAAATATGAATTATATGCAGGTGTTGCCATGGGAATTGCTGGAAGTGATGTGAGTAAACAAGCTGCTGATATGATTCTGTTGGATGATAATTTTGCTTCAATCGTTACTGGAGTCGAAGAAGGTAATATTTTTCCTTACAATGTTATATATCAAGGGGGACTGTTCAAAATTATTTTATCAAACATTGAGGGCACTTTTTTTTAGTAAAAAAAGCCACTGTTTCATTGCTTTACAAGTCAAACTAAGTTTTCATTTCAAACTACAGCTCTGCATACCAGTGGGGTGGTTTGAGGTTAGATCCAGATGCAGCCTCAGAAAAGCACCAAACTCATGTAACAATACTAGAATTGAATTCCAGAAAAAAGTGTTTTTCTCTTTTAAATACTGCTGCTTCATTGCCAATTATGTACCTGATAACTTGTTTTATTTTTTTATCTCTGATCATTAATTTAACACAATTTATATTATTATTTCAATTGGATAGTAAACATAGTTTTTTAAGCTTATTTGTAACGAAATGGGGATGTATGGAAGGAGTTTAGAATGGATGCTTATCATTCAAAAAAAAAATCGAAAACTATAAACATGATTAAATATGCAATAAATGTAATGAAAACTACATTAGTAACATACATATTGTTAAACTTATTCCCAAATTATGACGTTATTAAGTTGCATTTTTTTAGAGAACTTCACTAAAGTTTTTAGATTTTAAAATATGAATTTTTTAATGTAACATTTTACATAGGGTTCCCATGGTCTTTAAAAGTCCTTAAAAGCTGCTTAATTTTTATTTTGGAAAAAAAGGGCCCTTAAAAGTACTTAATTTTGGTACAAGGTTTTTAAAAGTCCTTAATTTTTAATTTTTCTGTTCAATTTTTTTAAAACAAAAGGTCATTCTTATATCACTTGGAATTGAACCATCCATTAAGGGTAACACATTTTAGGGAGACAAAAAATAATGTGGGGGCTACAGGCAAGGGGAAGAAAACATGTCCTTTCATTAATATATTGGTTCTTTCATTGAATTAATGTATTCTGCTTTCGACTAGAATGATATTCTTTGAGGAGAGTGAAGCATTGAAAAGAAAAGAATAGTTTGGACAAGGGAGATACTGCACATGGAAGAGATAGACTTTTTTTGGGGGGAGGGAATGCAGTTTTAAGGTACCTAAGTAGAAGACCCCCACTAACCTCCAAAACTGAGAGAATTCAAGAAATTCAGTTCTACTTGTAACGCGTCTGCTTATAGGAATTAAGTAAAACTCTAAGAAAAGAAGAATTAGAATTTTTTTTTTTAAACTAGAATCCATAACGAAAACTATTTCCTAAAATCTTGAAGAATTCAATAAATTCGTATAATATTTCAATGCATAATAAGTAACTGTAAATTTATGGAAAGCATAAAATTTTTAAAATTCATGATTGTGCTGAAAATTAAAACAGATCTGTAAGAAACAGGGTTTGAAAAATCCCAGCCTACCTATGAGTACTAAATAAGAAAGTATGATTTGCTTCTAACAAAAAAGTTAAATATTTGGTAACTATTTGTTTTGTTGCATTGTAAAATTATTTTAAAGTTTTAGATTGTTGCACTATTATTTTTATTTCTTAAGGATAAGCAGATTGTTTACATACAAATTTAAATCTCTTCAACTGAAAAGTCCTTAGATTTTAATACTCATTTTATTCGGTTAACATTCCTACTTTACTGTTTTTAATTTTTGATCAATTTTTGGTTGCTTTAAAATTAGTTCATGTGTTTCGCGAGACAAGTAACATTATGTTAAGTTAATTCCTAATAACAGGTTTAGCTGGAAATAATTTTGTTAAAGTTCATCATAAAAGTAAATATAACACATTTGCTGATCTAGTAGCAAAATATAAAAACTTTTTGTTTTTACCAAATTTCTTTATTTACTCTTTTTTTTTAATATACATTAAAAAAAATTGCAAATCTTAATTTATGCATTTAATTTTATAATTCAATTTCTATGAAATCATTAAAAATAGAATACCGCTTAGTATAATTAAATTGTTTTTTAATATATTTCTTTTATTTATTTATTTTTTTAGAAAGGTAAATAATTGGCACTGTCACTGGTGGCATATGTATATTCGATGATAAACAATCATACTATTTTTAGAATAAGTCCTTAATTTTTCGAAAAAAAGGTCCTTAAAAGTGCTTAACTTTTGCTTTGTTAAAAGAGTGGGAACCCTATTACAATTCAATGTTTGTTGGAAGAAGTTTCAGTGTTTACACAATCTGAAACTATAAATAGTCCTGAAAAACATCTCCCCTTTAGTTACAATTTGAAGGGTGCAAAAACTATCCCTTCTAGGTATTACAAAACAAAGAAAATATTAAAATTTTAAAAATTTTCAATTTAGTAAAATTTTTCCTCCTAAATTGAAATTATTTAATAATTCTTAATTTTTGCATATTTCCACGAGCCCAAGCAATGCAAAAACTTATCTAATATTTTTTAAAAAATCACAAAAGCTTTTCACTAAACTATGGTCCATTAACATTTTGTGCCACTTTTAGAATTAGCATAGAGGGTGCTGGCTAAAGATTGACAAAACTTAACGTAACAGTCATGAATAACTGTTACAGAATCACAACAGTCATAAAATTAACATATTATTTGCTGGAAAGCATTATTGCCTTAAAGAGAGTTGAGTGTTCACTCTACAATTGAGTTCTAGCAGCTAATCACATGACCGTGTCTAATCACTTAGTTGTACATGACATTTTAATAATACAGGCTTGGGTTTATTATCACGCTGAATCAATTTTTGGATCAGATTTAATTGGATACCTGCAAGTGACATCTCGTATGTGTGTCAAACTTGATTGGCTGTCCCACATCTGAGGTCGCTTGGAGGTATCCAATTATTGGTATATTATTTTACTTTTTTTGTCCCAGATGTTATAATTAATTTAAAATCTAGTAAACTATTCTAATTAAGTAAACTCAATTCTAATTAAAGGTTTAATTACCATAGGGTGCATGCAGATCCTACAACTTATGCATACATTTTGCATATATATTGCTTCTCTAGTTCGACTACTCTAATTTAATATTTTTTTTTTTAAGTAAAGTTTTGTCCCTCTTGTAATGGTATACATTTTAGTACAATATATTTTCAATTTTTAAGCATTGACTTTTATTTATTTTCATGTCACGTTTCCTAGATGCTTTTTCTTTATTGCAGGTCGACTGATATTCGATAATTTGAAAAAATCTATCGCTTATACCCTCACGAGTAATATTCCTGAAATATCCCCATTCTTGCTGTTTATTTTGGCTGACATACCTCTGCCCTTGGGAACAGTTACCATTCTATGTATAGATTTAGGAACAGATATGGTAAGTTTAGAAGATTTTTTTTTCACTATTTGAATATTTAGTATCTGTAAAAATCCAAAGGGCATATTTTGTTGTAACTATTCCTATTGCATTACACTCACTCCAGGTTTGGATGTTTTTAAACCTGAGAGAAAACTCACCTATAAAATATATGCAAACACCTGGGTGGCCACCAGCTTCCAACTTCTCTATCCATTTAATTCCTTTTAAAATCATGCTAAATCTTTCAGTAATACTTGCCTACTCTTGTTTGAAAGTTGAGAAACTGTTGGATAGTAAAATTGTTGTAGCATATTTAGTATCAAAGTTGAATAAAATATTGCCATTAGTCACCTGGGTATGACTTGTCCAGTTTCATAATTATGGATAGTAATAAAATAGCCCAGTCAGGTTAGACCTGAATTAATTCCCAGAAAGCTGAAAATGATTTCATTTTACTTAGGCATGGTAATTAAAAGTAATATGAATTTTTGACAATTTCTGAAGTGAGCTGAGCTCTTGAGAGCAAAAAAAACTGCTAAATGTTCAACACTTTATTAGTTTTTGCCTTATAAAAACAATTAAAAAAATTTTTTGTTTAAAACAAATCTAATTGGAATTGAATTTTATAAAAAGTTTTAATGTTTCTGAGCATATGTAAGTTTTGGATTATTTGGTATAGGTTGAGCACCAAGTTATGCATTATTAGCCTCAGGCCTCATACCTTAATCCAGCAGCAATTTTAGCAATAGCTGGAACTGGAATGAAAGAATAATTGCAGAACAGAAGTTTTTTATTGTTTTATACAAATGCATAATGATTCCCTTAAAGTAGTAAGACAGGAGGTATAATAGGGACACCTGAAAGGGGAAGGGCATTTTATTTACAAAATGAAGGTCACACCCAAGAAAATTATAGTATTTTTTTTAATTGGTTATTTGCATGCATCTATACATAGAGATAAACAAAATATTAATACTATATGCACCTTAAAAGCAGATTTAGGCACTTTTTATTTTTCTTAATTTATGTTTTACATTTGGAAAAGCATTTTTGGGTTGCAGGTGTTCAAAAGTGAGGGTAATGCTTTTTTCAACCAAAGCTATAAGTTTTGCTTATTTTTGATCAAACCGCTAAACAAAATGTATTGTTCAATGTATCATTCAATGCAAAATTTTTCTGATTTTAAAATTTTTTTGTTTTGTTAAAGAAACATTTTTTTAGAGAAACAGAGCGAAAGAACAGAGGGACTGACTATAGTGCCATCTGTTGAGGAATAAGAAAAGTATTTTTGCCATTAGCGTATATTTTGTTAATAAAAAAAAATTTGTTTCTTCAAAAAATACTAAGAAATTTGAGAATATATGGGCAAATGGGAGATAGTCGTAAAATACGGGAGTCTTCGTTGAAAAACAGGAGACTTCACTGGTATGACTTCAGAAATCAAACACATATTCTTATTTAGAATGCACTAGGTGAGATAAAATCATTTTCAACTTTTCGGAAATTAATTCTAAATACTGCTTTTTTAATAAATAAAAAGCCTAATTTGATTGGAGTAACTTCTATTATATTATGAATTTTGGTCTCTTCTTATTCCATGTTGATTCTTAATTGTGTATCAAGTAAAGCAAAACACCGCATTTTCCTATCTTTGATATATAGAAAATTTACAGTTATATAATTGGCGCATGGGAGTCAGTTATAAACCTTAACTAGACAACTTTTTTGATGGGCTGGTTTTTAAAACTGCACTAAAAATCTTCCAGGTGACATTTCAATTTTGTTTACATTTTCTTAAATGGTGCAAATAAAACTACAAATGATGATACAGTATACTCTCGATATCTCAAAATTGGAGGGAAGCTAAAAACATTTCGAGATAACAAGTTCAGAACTAAATGTGTTCTGAAAATTAGAAAAGTATATTCTAAAATAATGCTCTAAAAAGTAGTCATTAAACATAATTAACTACCAATAAATATGTATAGTTGACTATAAGTCTTAATACAACAATTATAATTTTATTTCTAAAAGTAAGACCAAAAATAATTATGCATTGAATAGAAAAGAATTGGTTTACAATAAACTTACATTGTAATTTTTCCCAAAAAAATTGCTTTTTTATTTTGTAAAAAATTCTACAGAACAAGGTTTTCCAAAGAAACTCTTCGACATAGGAATTCAAATTAACATTACATGGATATATAATGATTAGGGGGGGGGGAATATTTTTTTGACATAAAAGGGTTTTCAAGATATCGAAGTTCGAGATACAGAGAGTATACTGTATTATTATTGACTGAATAGTAATTTTATTCTCTTAAGATTAAACCGCTCGGATTAATGTTTTTTTTTTTTAATTCTAATATTTAAAAAAGTATTTTAATGATTTCTGTGATAAATTTTTAACCACTAAACTTAAAAGAACCTCTTTATATACTGTGTATATGAATAGTAACTGTTACATTTATAAACTGTTGTTCTTTTTGTATGCATGATGAAAAATCTCTTCTTTCGCCATTTCAATTTTTCCTATTATGTGCTTTATCTTTCTTTCTCTCTCTCTCTTTCTGCAAAAACAAACTGTGCGTCTTCTGTTTCTTTTGCCACTTTTTTTCTGTTTCCTTTACAACAGGTGCCAGCTATATCTCTGGCCTACGAGCATGCAGAGTCAGATATCATGAAAAGAAGACCCCGTGACCCCAAACATGATAAACTAGTTAACGAAAGGTAAATTGTGATGTATTATTCTCCTCCCTCTGTAGGCTGTTGGTTGCACACATTTGAGCATGTTTCTTCATTGCTGCGTTTTCCTCTCCTCATTGCATTTCCTCTTTTGCTTATTTTTGTGTTTCTTCTAATATTTCTACACTGTTGGTTACTCTTAACCACAATATTTTCATTTGTAGAAATGGAAAGTTTTTATTTTTAATTCACAGTAAGGTAAATCTAATAAATCAAACCAGCAATCCATTATTAAATTTATAGATTATGTTATAAGCAATTTATAATTAAGGAAAAGCTTGGATGTCACAAATCATTTTATGGTAAAAATTGCTTCTCGACGAAGCATTTTATCTTAAATAGTAGAAGAAGAAAAAAAACTACATGATGTTTTTCATTTTAGAAATGGGCCTTTCACAAATTTCTTCTTTTGAAATAAGAAGTGCACAATATCTTAAATCCGCAATTTCAAAACTCCTTGAAAGACTTAGTTTTTTAGATTCTTCTTAAAATTCTGAGTACATATTTCACAAATTCGTAGTAACAGGAACTTTTTTAATTCCCCCTGCTCAGAAGATATTTAAAACTTCTGTGTTCATAATCCAGATGGGTAGGTCCCGTCTCTTTATCAACCAGTGACTTGTGAGGCATGTCATTCTTTAAAAAGGAATCCATTTACGTTCTTATTAATACTTAAAAATATTTTTAGATTAATTTCTGAGTTTTGTTTTTAAAAAAAATTCATAAAGAAGAAGGGAAAAAATTATTTAAAAAAATCAGTTGGGTGCAGCTCAAGGAGGGCCAAGGATTACTCTGCCCATCCCAGTTTTCTAACTCTGGGATACAGTAACAGATGTTCTGGATGTGTTGTCAGCGGAACGCAGAACCCCTTTGTTTAATATCCAAGCATTTTTAGTGCTCATTTTAGAGAAAGGATGAAAGGCTATGTCAACCTTGCCCAGTGGGAAATATTTTTATAGTGTATTATAAATATTTTTATTTACTACTTTTTCAGCACTTCATTAATAATGTGCTATTAAAAAAACTGACAACATGAAGAAACAATATTAATTTCTGCTATTTCTCTTTTAATCAAAGGGATATACATTCTTGATTTTGACCTTTTTTCCCATCTTTTATGATGTGTGAGTATAGTTCGTATGAGAAATTTGTAATTGGCTAAATTTTTCTTTTGAGGGAGGAATTTGTATAACGGGTGCTTCTAGTGGATGAATTGGGGAGAAAATTCAGTAGGAAACAATCTTAAAACAAAAAAAAAGAAGCTAAAACCTAAGAAAAAAATTCACTACCTTGGAAGATACTCAATCTTAAAATTTGCAATAATTATAATTAGCCATGGGTTCAAAGTAGATAGCTAAACAGTTACTGTTTTTTTGTTTTTGTTAAAAAATGTGCTACGGCATGGTTATGTTTCATTAAAACTGAAAAATTAATTTATACAAAATGCTTTCCGTTTTACACTTTCTTATTTCAAAATTTTTTTTTTCTTAAATTATTATATTTGAAGTTCGTATTTGTAACGTATTTGAAATTCAGTGATTATATTCATTAGATCTTTAATAATTGTTTGTCGAAATAAACCTCTCTGTATAAATTAATTTTGCTTTTTAATCACAAATCAGATAATTTCCATGATGTGACTCTATTCATTAACTATACTACATTAGGTTTTAAAATAACATTCGGTATAATTTATAAATTTGTCTACTAAAAAACCTATGTGTTTAACTTTGACTTGGTAAAATTTTAATTCTTTTAAAATTTCATTTTTGATATATCAAAAAGTATATTCAATTACTTATTGAATCAAATATTATATTATATTTTGAATGAAATATTGTCCTGTATAGTAAAAATAATGTGTGAAAATTTGTTGATGTTTTCCTAGAAAAAGTCTGGAAATTTATTTACTGTGAACTTTGAGAATTTTATTAAATATTTTAATATCTTGAAAAACTGTTTGCAATGAAACCAATTCATGTCTGACAAGCAATGATAGACATTTTCAAAAAAAAAAAATCGGTTCAAAATAGATTTGAAAGAGTAACTTTTTAATTTAAAATTATGAGGAAAAATAGAACTTACTCAAGCTGTTATAAAAAATTATATCTTGCCACTCATTCTTATTGATCTTAACAAGTATTTTGTGACTTTTATTTATTTATATTTTCACAATATATAAGTTTGTTGATGCTTTTTTATTCAAATCCTTATTATTTAGAATTTGTTGAATAATTTCAGCATGTAAATTTTTTTGGTTATTTCTGTAAGCA